CCGGGTGCCAGGCTGCGTGCAGGGGACGTCCTCAGAAGGGTCCTGGCCTTGCGGCCCAATGGCTGTGGCGCTGTGTCCCACCCCTCCCTTGGGCAGCCCGTCAGCGCGCGTCAGGCATCTGTCCCCTGCGGTGGCTGCCAGCCAGCACGGGCGCCCCTCACCGCCCTGGCTGAGCGCGGCGCCCCAGCAGGAGCCACTCGTCCCCGGCATCAGTCCACAGCGCGGTGCTGCCGGCCTCGACCGGAGCCCGGCCCAGGAAGCGGGTGTGGGCAGGGCTGCTCGGGGGCGGGCACGTGGGGGGCCCGCCTGCCTTCGTGCCATGCCAGCAGCAGCGGGTGGCTCGTGTCACGGTGTCCCTTGGCTGGGGGGTCCACGTGGGGAGCTGCAAGTTGCCCATGTGTCGGGGTGACGGGAGGTGGGTCCCCGGTGTGGAGCCAGAGCACTGGGAGGCTGGGGCCCAGTGCAGGGAGTGGCAGGAGGGGGCAGGTGTGCCCTGCATGGGACAGGCCGAAGCCGGCCATCACCCACGAGCGTCAGTGGGGCTGGGCGGCACCCCGGTCCTGGAGCCGGATGACAGGTCGGGGTTGAGGAGTGTGGTTGGGGGCATGGGGGGCCTGGGCGGGAAGGCCCTGGGGACCAGCCTCAGGGGCACCTGGATGATCTGTCAGCACAGAGTGGACAGGGGACTCTGCAACCTTGGTGCTCAATCATCGCTCGGAACCTCCACCTGCTTTTTGGGGTGCTTGGAGCCACTGATGACCTTGGTGGCCTTTACCGGGGCTTCCTCCCCTGAGAGCTGCTGCAGGGGTTTGCGCGTCCAGCTGTGGCCCACCCCTTTCTGCCCTTTCCTGGCCCTTCCCCGAAGATGCCCAGTGAACTGCAAGCCAGGCCCACCACTGGCCCATGGCCGCTGGGCTCCGGCCCCCCACCAAGACTCCCAGCAAGCTGCAAAGGCCCCCGCCGGGCCCCGCAGCGCCGGGAGGAGCAGACAGCTCCAAGCGCTTCCTGTGGCCTGCTGCTCTGTCTCGGCAGCAGCGGGCACAGAGCGACTGGGTCTCTGGCCAGTGGCATTGCCATGCGGCGCCCTGTCCTGGGGGAAGGTGACAGTCTGGGGCTGGGTCCTCACGAGCTGAGGCCCACTGGGGAAGAGGCAGCTCTCAAGGCCGTGGCCGAGGTCGGTAATCCACATTGGATGTCAGTAGGGACTGGGGGATATTTAAGAGAGAGAAGTATATATATATAAAACTATATTCACACCTCACCGTACGTTTGTACCTTTCCCTCCTGTTTGACACTGTACGTTAGAGCGGATCTGCGGCCCGGTGTCTTCGCGGGCCAGCTCGCAGCTCCACAGAGGGAGGCAGGGCGCCCACCGCCCCGATCCCCGCAGCCCCTGCTGATGGCTGGGCCCCTGGGCCTGGGGCCTGGCAGGTGCCCCACTGGTGGCTGCACTGAGCTCCCAGACTGCCCTGTCCCGAGGGACACAGGTGGGCGAGCGCTGGCCGTGGGCCCCTCGGCCCCAGGCTGAGGGCGCTCCCGTGGCCGGAGGGCTGTGGTTCGTGCCCCCCCCCCCCTCCCGGGGACCGGGGCCACGGAAGATGGCGCGTCCCCCGTGCTCTCTCTCTTCCTTTCAGATCATCGGAATTTCACTGTCACGATTTAGTGTATGTTTTTATTTAAGAGAAGCGGCCAGGGTCTTCTGCAGCGTGGGCTTGTCTTCCTGTCCCCTGTGCTTCAGAGCACGTCCTTCTGGGAGAAGGCAGCCCCTTGCCTTTCCTGGGTGACAGGGCCTCTGGGTGTGAGCCACACGGGTCTCCCTCGCTCCGGCCGCTCAGCAGTTTCATGTCAA